ACAATCATATTCTTGTGAGCCTTGACCTGTCTTCACCTCAGACCGCAGACTTGAGCGAGTTCTGGCAGAGAGTCAGAATCATCAGCAGCAGCTTCAGGAACAACTCAGCCAGCATCTCAGCCATGCCCTCAGCTCAGCTCTGACCAACAGAATGGACAAAGTGCTTCGGGATGAAATGAAGAAAACAGTCCCACAAAGTAAGAAAACACCAAACACACTCCCAGAGCATGATGGGTGCCATTCACTGCTAAGCTTCACTGAGATTCATACATTTAAAAAGGTCACATAAAGGAAATAAATGCATCAAATGTTTCCTGTTCATATGTATGGGGGAGTACTATCTCTTTGATATCTAGTAGTGATGAGGAAAAAAATTGTATTGATAACACATTTTTAAGGTGTTTCTCGTGATTTTTTTTAATGTTTTTCATTTCTTTTAAATTGTACAGATGTTTACTTTTAAGTGTCAGATGTCTGTTCAAATGGGATGTTAATTATTGTTGTATACCTACAATTATGTCTGTGAAGGTTCTTAGACATCCAGGTCATTGTAGTCTAAGGAGCTTGGAAGGAAAATCATCTGGATTTTCTGAAGATGTTTAACTTCACATCTGAGAAGCTTCAGTTGCAAGAGCAATTGGTCCATCTGGGACTCTTCACCAATTGCTCTTAGAACTGAAGAAGCTTCGCGGGTGAGAAGGGAAGCGTCTTCAAGAAATTAAAGACGTCCAGACCCTTTCCCCCCCCCAACCTCCTTAGACCTACAATTGTCTCTAACAGCAACATTGAAAACCGATAACACAGTCTGAGTCAGACTAAATAGATTCACCAGGCAATCGTTAGATCAGTCACTTCTCTTTCCAGATGATGGTGGTATTGAGCCATTTTAATGTTTGTAAGTTGAGGAGCAGGAAGATCTTTATGTACTAAAACATGTCCAGTCTGCAAATGCTGCAAACTTAGTTAAACCCCTGACCCACCCTCTGGGGTCTCTTATCAAGCCTTTCTGTTATTGATATGCAAATGTTTATTGTAGGTATATTTAATAATACTTAAGGTGTTTTTTTCTGCTGTGTGTATAATCTAAGTTGCACAGATGTTGTGGTTCAGCTTACTTGTCTTGTAAACTTGAAATTTATTTACTTTCACCTTTTTTGATCTATTGGCATTTTGATCAAAGAAGAGCAAATGGTTTATGAACAGAATAGCTCGTATTTTTCCTTGCTAATAACCAAATATCATGATGTTAACACTACAAATCACTGATGAATATAAATATGGATATAGCAGTTATTAACAAAGGCTACAATTTCTGTGAAGCTGCATTTTGTTTTGTTTTTTCCAGCTCTGACAAAAACGCCAAACTCTAAGTGCACACCAGGTTGTACATCAATAAATTACTGTGTTATTTAATGCTTGAGATCATCTTGAAGCGTAAGTAATGTTAAATATAGCAAAGGCAGCTGAGGTGTGTTGGACTGAGACACAAAATTAAGCAGTCTCTTGAGAGATGTGTTCCTGCCTCGCCTCTCCTGCCCTCGTATTCGAGGATGAGATGTTCCTGTCTTTCTTTGCCTCCAGCCTCGATCACATGCCTAATTATAGAGGGGTTCCTGCTAATCTATCTTTTTCCCTCTCTAGCAATCTCTAAGACTTTGGAGCCAGTGACAGGCCAGTTGAACAACACAATTGCTGCTAAACTGACCGCTGTGGAGGTCACCCTGAAGGACAATGTTGGCAAAGTGGTGAAATCGAAGGTAGGTGACTGCCTTACTTTACCACTTGTCTGTATTCTTTTCCTCACTGCTGTGCAGGATGGGCCTTTTAGGATTATTCACTGTGTATTTTCTACATCAACCTATTCTCCCTGCCTCTTGTTCACCAGAACACAACGGATGCGATTGGTCGAGCAGCAGCAGAGGCGATGCAGGGGCCCATTCAGGCAGCATATAAAGATGCCTTCCAGAGCATTGTGCTTCCTGTTTTTGAAAGAGGCTGCCAGTCCATGTTTCAGCAAATCAACGACAGCTTCAAACAAGGCACACAAGAATGTAAGGAAATGAAGGACGATGATAAACGTGTACAAAACACCATACAAATATCAAGCTATCTAATGATCCACTGCAGGACATGTTGTCTAGGTGCACTTAAACATTTATCATTAGATGTACAGTTGCTTTAAAGTTTCTAGACGCTCTCTTAAAGGCATCCCGATGGCTTACAATGGCTGATGTCCTTATTTGGATACTTAGCATTATTGCTTTCTTCATATTGAATGTTCTCAGTGTCTAGCTCTGAAATAAGGAGCTGTATGTGGAAGTCTGATTAAGTAAGTGTCTCACTGAAAGATCTCAGGGACAACTTTTGTACTGATGCCTTTACAGACCCAGCCAGTCCGCTGATGTGCTGAAAAGCAGTCTGCTTATTCTGAGATTGCGCTCACGCCCACTCTTGGAAGCTGCAACCTGATCTTTTTAAAATTTATAATGTGCACAGAGAGGCCACAGTTCCGCTCCTCTAATTTAAAATTAATCCAAGGTTTGCTTTGTAAATATTACCTGCTTTCGTGCCAAGCAGTTCTGGGGACTACCTCTTAAGTAACTGCTGTAAGGTCCCCAGGTAACTACATAACCTTCCAGCCTCCCCCCCACCAATTCATACTGCTAATAGAAACTCTTAAGTGATTTCATAGCTCACCAGTGGCTAGTTAACTCAGTAAGAAAAGAAAATGCTGTACTTCACTGTTCACTTGAATTCGCACATGGTTTTCCTCCATTTAAAGCTAATATTAATAAACATGTTCCCCAAATGTTAACATCTCTACCTATCCCGAGAAAGTATACCTACTCCATACCAGAAAGAGACTTCTGAGAACTACAAGTGGAAAAAAAGTGGGTCTGCCTCAAATAGTTGCCAGGCTGTCGTAACTGTGAAAGTGGCAATTGACGCGCTTTTTTGTGATTGCTGCACTAACATCTGCACTGCTGTGTTATCTGCCTTCAGCAGTGTTTTAATGCCCAAATGTTACTCGTTTAAAATGGTGCAATAACATCAAATGTATAATAATTATTGATACATAATGCTGTAATCCTCCCGCACTAGTCATTCTCGCAGTCACATGTAGGGTCGCATCTGCACACAACACTTGCATCTCAGCAAACTAGCTCCAAATAAAATGAGCCAGTGGAAGCAAGTAAGAGAGCCTTTTCATGTTGCACTGACTCATTTAATATTATTATGAAAAATGTTGCTCGCTAGAGTTGTGACAGTATTTAAGATGTGTTTGCTTGCGTGATGAGAGATTTTGCTCTTGACTTTCATCTTTGTAGACATCCAGCAGCTTGAGACTCATATGAAGAACAGAAAGCAGAGAGACCAGGATACACGAGACCCCATGATTGGCCAGCTCCAGCAGATGATCGACAACTTCCAGAGCTCCACTGATCAGCTGGGCAACAACATCACAGCTAACGTCCGGGCTGAAGTCCAGCATCAGATCCAGATGATGGTGGGAAAGTATGTAACTGAGCTGTTCCTTGTTTACCACTGTGTGAGCCGTGTGTGACTAGAAAAGTGAAACTTTTTTCCCACATAAAAAAAGTAAATGAATCTTCCCAAAACTGTTTACTTTACCTTTTACTTTTCTAGTTTGTCACTTAACACTTGATTATTCTTTTACTTCAGTTACAGAATTAAAAAAAGATGGTCTTGCAAATCAGTATTTAAACAGTCCTGTTGTTGAGTGATGTTATTCACATTTATTGATCTTGCAGCATTGACTTACATTCCAAGTGGACATTTTGAACTTCAGCTACGCATATCAGCAAATACCTATGTACCACTATGGCTTTACTTACTGCATATTGAGCAGCTGTGTAATAGATTGGAGAGTAAAAACAAGCAAAGCTTAATCCTGGGGCTAATGTAAGAACATCAATTCGATCAGGTCTCTTGTTCCCCCTGCAATTAATTTCAAGGCCTCTAGAGTTTATAGATTGTCAGGAGCAGAGCAGAGAGAAAATAGCTGGCCCACTAAAACTCTTGAAAAGGAAATGACAACGCCAAACTGTGCAGAGTCAGTTTTTAAGCCAATATCTTGTAGGTTAAGGGCAAGGATTTTCCCCAAAGCACAAAAATAGACTGCAGCGTATTTGTTTAAGATTCATGCAACTTGGAGGATAACTGTCCTTCTTTTCCCTGCTCAGCTTGCAGGAGTCTATTCTTAGCCATGTGCAGCGGATTGTCAAAGGTGAGGTGAGCCTAGCGATGAAGGAGCAGCAGGCAGTGGTCACCTCCAGCATCATGCAGGCAATGAGGTCGGCGGCTGGCACACCAGTTCCCACAGCACATTTAGACTACCAGACACAGCAGACGAACATCCTGCAGCTCCTCCAGCAGGGCCAACTCAATCAGGCTTTCCAGCAGGTAACACGCACACACTGATGTAACCAGGCTTAAAGGTTGCACTGCAGCTTCCTCTGCAGCTGAGCTGTGTTTTCCAACTACTAATTAATGCAGGCAACTGCATACAACTCACTGTAACTCTCATATGCATGTATGTCCACCAGGGGCGAGAAAGCCATTATCCTGCAACTACACTTCAGTCCCACTTGCAAACCCCACCAGTGCATTAGTTGTGCTGCAGGCATTCATTATGCTTGTATTTGCTCCTAAGTGACTTTGTATGTGAACATGCGTTTCCCCTCTACTTTTAAGCTGAAAAACTACCCCGTCTAAGCTTACATGCTAGTTAAAATTATTAATTTTCTGCAATGTTTAAAAGATTTTGTGTTATAAACACATCTAGTAGTTTTTGTGGTTGGAATTAATATTCAATTTTAGCATGGAAAGCTTTGTCTGAGCTTGGTCATGCCATCTCATTTGGTGTAGCTGGTGCAAAGTACCTCCAAACTGCTCATCCTTGATTGTTGGCTTCCTTCATATTATGTTAGATCTCTTGCTCACAACTTTTGAGGATCTCATGTTTTGGAAACGGAAAATGACGTAGAATTGAAACTTAAAGAAGTCCAGGCGCAGACTACGATGACCTGGATGATTGAGAACCTTCACAGAAGACATAGAATTGAATTGATCGGTCCATTGTTACCTATTCTCAATCCAGCTTTCAAAGTCAGGATGGAACTGACACTGAAATGTTGCATTAATAACTTGCTTGTTGATGGAGTGCACCTTTCCTTAAGAGGCTTATTGTATGGAAAGAGATACTTAAACTTAAATTCATGCGAATATTTATATAAGTGGTTAAATTGGTAACCCCCCCTCTTGGTTTACTCTACAGGCTCTGTCAGCGACTGATCTGAATTTGGTCTTGTATGTGTGTGAGACCATCGACTCTCAGCAGGTGTTCGGACAGCACCCCTGCCCTCTAAGCCAGCCCGTGCTGCTTTCTCTCATCCAGCAGCTTTCTTCCAACCTCACAACTCGCTCTGAGCTCAAAATCAGGTGAGCAAACAAAGGTTGTCATTTTTGGCAGCTAGGTACAGATTTACAGTAGGCTTTTCTTTCTTTTTTTTCTGGAGTCAAAGAGAACACATCCTTTTTCATTAATTTGCATGCAATATGTAAACAGACACAGAAAGCCAGAAGACAGTAGACACAGTTGGGCTTACACTGTAGTTGTTCAGTGAGATATGACCGTTCACAGATTTTAGTGGATGTGAGTCTTCTCTGTGTTTGGGTTTGGGATTAGACTAATGTCATAATGACTGAACAAAGCCATTAAACAAAAATTGAAAGTGAATAAAACTACACTGAAAAAAATGATTTGCTTTCATGCTTGCTCAGAACAGAACTTACCATTTCAGTTTCAGGTGTGACACAAAGGTCTCTGGGTAGATGTTGTGGCATCCCCATTGATCTGTTGTTTCTGGGCAGACAGGTTGGTGGATCATATAAAGTACAGCAGGTGGTATTATACCAAACTTTTTTCCACTAGTTGCTCTTGTTTTTCTGAACTGGCAATCACAATACATGTTAAGAGTCTTTATTTATTATGCAGTGCTCAGGGCCGCATGCTACAGTACACAGGACCAGGCTCAGCATGACTACAGTATCTCTGAAGGAGGCAGATGCTTCAGTAGCAGAGAGATTTGTGTATTGTCAGTCAGCAAATTTAGCTTTATTTAACTGGCAACTGATCGAGGCTGTATTTTTCCAGATTCATAAATGTTTATTTGTAATTAACAGTAACATAAGATGAATAAGGAAGCATTTTGTCTCTGGTTATGAATGTTGGTTATGAAAAGCAGAAGTAAAAATGGGACAAATGTAAGTTTCAACCAGTTGTTGAACTTCTAGACTAATGATCTCTCCATCAAAAAGAATCGGTGCAGCACCTAGCCCAGGGGTGGGCAACTCCAGGCCTCGAGGGCCGGTGTCCCTGCAGGTTTTAGATGTGTCCTTGAATCAACACAGCTGATTTAAATGGCTAAATTAGCTCCTCAACATGTCCTGAAGTTCTCCAGAGTCCTGGTAATGAACTAATTATGTGATTCAGGTGTGTTGACCCAAGGTGAGATCTAAAACCTGCAGGACACTGGCCCTCGAGGCCTGGAGTTGCCCACCCCTGACCTAGCCACATGAATCCTCTTTGGCATCACTGAAACTTAAAAGAAAAGGGGAAAAAAAGAAGACCTCAGGCCAGATCAGAAAGGTAAAATGTCAAATCTAGCATCTTATATAACTTTAAGGTGTACCTTCCGGTTTATTTTTATTAGATTTAGGCGTCTAATGTGAAGCTACCCTCCAGTAATTGAAAAATGATGACGAAGGAAACTCAAGGTGAAGGTTAACCTTGGGTTTGCTACCTCTATCAGAAGCACTGAGCCTTGTTCTCAAGTTCACTTGTTCCTAAACATAAAGACGACTAAATATGATTCATAAATTCTCAGGAATGTTGTGCCATTATTTGCACTTTTAAATATAGTTTTACTATTCTTGCATTTTTCCATCATCTGTAGTGCTGAAAACCTTTAAAAAAAATCTTTGTTTTTCCTATTTATTTTGATCAAGTACATAATATACATAGTCATTTAGGAAAAAATAGTAAAGCATATAAAAATAAAGCAAAATCCACTACAGTGCTCCACTGAATCTGATTTAGTTTACGTTTCCAAAAGGAGTGAGAACAAGGAAACACTTATTTAATCCTACCCCTTCTTTTTAAGTTATCAGTTATACAATTTATCCAGCTTACTTATTGATATAAACCTCAATAACAATAGACACATTTTTAATAGCACTACATTAAATGCACATTTTTCTCATAACTCCCAAACATTACTTGGCCTTGCTGTGTGGAGGTAGCTCCAGTTTTGGAATGCTAAGTCTAAATTCTGAATAAGTATTAAGTAGCCTGAAGTTTAACTAAAAGGAGACATTCACTAAATAAAAGTGAATAAAAAATCCTGTGATGTTTGAATACTAAAAATCCATGCACTGTCTCCACTTTAAAGACAATGCACAGTTTGAGCACTCTTACTCTTCATTGCAGGATATCATAATTTCATTGTTGTCTCGCACCATTGTAGTTTGATGTAAGACCTGTCCTGTGATACAGCAGGCATAACTTGTAATTTTGGAAAACGTCATAGATTTTAATCAAAAACCCGTGAACTGTGCAGGTTTATGTCATCACATAACGTCTTAATTATAACTTTTGAATTGCATGTGATGTCTTCTCTCCCACACACGCCGGCTCTTATGCTCCCCTCAGTCAGTAATAAAGCTCGTCTTTGTCTAAACTTTTGCTGCCCATCTAATCTGTTTTGTATGTTCATTACTCCCCATCTCCCACGTGCTAAACGGTGCTAAAGTGCTGACCCCATCACCCGGCTCCGTCTGTAGCCCTGCTGCATGGCTATCCTGGGAACGCCGATGATCCCATGAATAGCATCGCAGTTTTTGGATGCACTCTATTGTTCTGTTCTTGCTGCGTCCTTGTATCTTTTTCCCCCCATGTAGTTCAGTTTTGTACTTTTTTTTTGGTCCTCTTTTTGATTTTTCTTGTTTCAGTTTGTCATATAAGAAGATGAAAGTCAGATATGACCAAAAATCTCATTCAGCAACTGCTTCTATAGGCAAAGGTTTGGATATTTGTACATCACAAAATTAGTGAATCAATTAGGTTAAGAATAGAATATATATTATATTCTATTAAGACTTAACAGACTTTACTTTCACTTTTTCACCTGATATCTGTATATTCTGCAAATTTAGTAGGATAAATCCTTCAGCTCTCTCCCTGTACACGCGGTATTGTATCTTGTCTGAAGCAGTGAGAGAGACGCAGCTTTCCCCGCTGTGCCACACAGCGTAAAGTATCAGAGGTGGATTATCCTCTTTCAATGCCCCTGGCAACTTTTTTTTGGTAGAAACTCAGCTTTTGGTGCAGCTCAGAGCAAGACAGGACCCAGTAGTGCTGCTTTTTTCCCTCCTCGCAACTGAATGATAGTTTTTACAGTCAAATAGCTGATTTTTTTTTCCCTTTGTGATTTTTATCATTTAGAATATTCATGGACAGCCCGACATCAGAAAGCACTCTCACTGTGCCCCTCTCTTCTGAGAAGAGCTTGTCCTCTCATACCCATTTCTCCCTGAAAACCTCTTTGTCTCTGAGTCCCTTTACAGCATCGCGCTGTGTCCACATCATTTGTTTGTTTCTCAGTTTACACTACAGCTGCTAATGTGGACCTTTGTGTGCCATCTGCAGAAAAGAGTGCACTATAGAAACCTTATTAAGACTGAGAAAATCATAGCTCTGGGTTTTATTTTAATTTTTTTTTTAAAAAAGCTAGATTATAAGCAGTTAACACCTTTGTTTCTTACCTTTAATGGGTAACTTTAATTATGAAGGGAAGTTTTCACTCATGAGCAAAAATAAATCAGACTGTTAAGTACACGGTATGTGCGCAGTAAATCGTAGTTCACATCTGGGTAAAGATACCACAGAGCTGTCTTCAGGCTTCGTTTTCAGGACTTGTGATTAGACGTATTTCAGAAGAAGCTCATAAAAGATTCCCAAAGCACAGCTAGGATTGTTGGGACTACAGAGGGTGTCATTATCCACAAAATCTGTGCTCTTAGCTGCATCATTAGCTAGCTGTGAAGTACACACTGTTGCACAAATGGATGCGAGAACAATTGAGGCAGCGTGAAAAACAATTAAATATGTGTTTTTGAGGTGTTTGACAAAATGCAGTTACAGCCAAATTAACTTCGGCAAGACATTAACTTTCAGAGAGACATTCGGTATCTGTGCTGGTATGTGCAGTGACATTAAAAGCCCCTTTAAACAGTGCGCTGGCAGTGCTGAGGGGGATTTGATAGACCTGCAGTGTGTGTTGTGGGGCTCTGGCAGGAGACCAGCTGGCGACATGGGAACATCTCTAATGTTAGACTGGGATCAGGTAGCACTCCGGACACGGTGATGAATGGTCATTTCCACTGTACAGCTGGACACTCTCACCACCAGATGTCTGACTCTTACAATTAATTCAGGAGTTAAGTGTAGTGCATCCCGAGCGAGAGGACAGGAGGCAGGTAAGGCTGATTTCTGCTGGGCAGTTTGATGAAAGCACAATGTTCACAGGCTTGACATTCAAACTTTGAAACCAAAATGAGAACTCGGCTTGCTCTCCCTCTGAAGCAGGGGTGTCAGACATAAGGCCCGGTGGCCAGAAGTGGCCCATTAAAGACTCCAATCTGGCCCACTGGACAGCTTTACAAAATATGAAAGAGGCCATACATTTTTTTGACGTTTAACAGTATTTTTTTTTTTTTTTCTTTTACACGTTTTGTAGCTTTTCGTGCTACTAAAGACCTCTCCCACGGCCATGCATACTACACCAAATTAAATAAGTAATAGATGACAATTAAATGACAGAAACGTTTTACTGTCATTACTTTAGTGTCTACTATAGAAATTTCAGTTTTAAAAACAACAACAATCAACAAAAACTGTTTTATAAATATGGGACAATCTGGGTAGTGAGCTACCAGAACCCATTAATCATGTAGAAAAACTCAGATGTGCCATATAAATTGTACTACTTTATCTTCTATTAAGATATCTCAGGGATTAAATGTGCAGTTAAACATGTTTTAACTGCACAGAAAATGCATTTTCACTTGTCTGGCCCACTTAACATCAAGGTTGGCTGTATGTGGCCCTCAATGTTAAATGATTTTGGCATCCCTACTCAAAAGCCCCAAAACTGTCATTTGTGCAAATTGTCCTTCTGGTGCTTTTATATGTTAATAACTTACTGCTGATGGAATGAAGTTTCAGGTTTTATATGAAAACCTTTTAATTTTCCAATTTTTTCCACCAAGTGACCACAAACGCTTTCTTTTCCTTGAGCCTGCCAATGCCTCTGTAGGTGTTCATTGTTATCTGACCTCTTTCTCTTTCCCTCCTCTTTAGCTACCTGGAGGATGCGGTAATGAATCTGGACCACAGCGACCCCCTGACCAGAGACCACATGTCGTCCGTGCTGGCCCAGGTCAGACCAAAGCTCTTTGCCTTCCTGCAGCAGGACCCCCACAGCCCGCTCAGCAAGAGGGCGCGGCGCCTGATGATGATGCTACAGGGACTCGTCAACCACTAGTTGTCGGTTTAAAGGCTGCTGCCAAAGAGTGGTTTTCCTCTTGATACCGATCATATGTCCACCGTTGGTTTTTTTTGTTTGTTTGTTTGTTTTTTTCCCCCCGTGGTGTTTCAGAGGAGAAAGCACCAAGGACAGCTTCTCCAGTTTCTTGGATCCTGATCCGGATGCGTCTCTCCTTGTTTCATTTCTCCTCCTTCCCCCTTTTCTGCACCAGTGAAGTGTCAAGTCAAGAAATGGACAGTTTTTTGTTTCTCAGTTTTTTGGTTCTTTTTTCTTTTTGTTGTTTTCTTTAAGACAATAATGGTCTGGGGTGAAAGCTTACTGTTGATTTATGTTCAGAGACTCTTAAGTTCACTGTAGCTACATCCAGACCTTTGTTACAGCTGCTTTATTGACCCAAGAGACCTGGTGGTCGACTCTTCCATCAAGACTGTCTCAGCCATGACAGCAAGAGAGCGCTGAGATTCTTTCATCCCCCTTAACAACAACTGAAAAACCAAGAATGAGAAAAAAACATACAAACAACCTGACACTGTTTGATTTTACATCATCCAGACATGCGTAAGACTTGAAGAATGTCCAGCCGAGTGGTCCGTGTGAGGCCAGACGGGGCTGTTCCTTTTGTTGTGCTGTTTCCTCTAAGCTACCTGCCAGGCATGTTTTGGGATGCTGAACAAGTTTTGATGCAGGGGGCTACTTCTGAGCAACAGAAAGAAAACATGCTTTGCCTCAAAATGTCGCCTTCTATTTCGGCCTTAAGAGCAAACAGCAGGCTTGTACATATTGTTACTTTCTTCAACACAGACCAGCATCCTTCTGCTAAAGCCTGGAATTTGGTAGTCGTAGGATTATCCTCCCTTAGTTCAGTTTTTCTTTGCTTTTTCTTTCTTTTCTTTTTTTTCTTTTTGAAGCTAATCCTGGCAACCAAAAGAATATGTACCACCCAAAGCCAATTTTCTTTTTCTTCGTTGGTGGCATATTTCCTCTGAGCTATTTCTTAATAGGTATCCAGCCTATTAAGAAATAGGTCTCCTATTTGTTTGGCCCTTGCCAGACTAGATCTTTGAAGAGAATTGACACTATAAACCTTTTTGATAGACAATAATGCAATTTGCTCATGACTTTTTCACCTGCTTTGGTTTTAGAAATCACTCTAAAGAGGATTTTCTGAAGGATACATTGAGTGTGTAAGAAAGAAAGAAATGTTTGCAGAGGTCTTCCAGGCTGTAAAGAATTCCCCTTCAAAACCTGAAATGTTTGGAGCTCAATATTGAAGCCGGCAGCCGTCCACATGTACAACTCTGTCCTCAGACTTCTCCCCATGTTTTTTCTTCCCTTTTTTATATAAACATTTAGTATTTGTAAGCCATGTATACTTGCGTTAAAACTTAAAAGTAGCTTAATAATTGGGAAAAAAAGGAACCTTGGTAAACATTAAATGTTACAGATCCTGTTGTTTTACCTGGCAATTGCAAATATTGCTTGTAAACTCAATGTGCAGTGACTTCTCTTAGGCTCTAGGAGGCAGCACGTGGACATTCATCCTGCTTGAAATTTAGGTTTTGAATCCAGAAGTCATTCCTGCTCTTTCAGTATCAATGAAAAGCCTGCCTTTAGATTGTAAGCGCACCGTTTGTTCACATTTACACTGAGTTAAAAGTGTATATTTTGTGTAGATCCCATTCACACACCTCATTGTTTCATGACGGGTGGCTGCACTGAATTGCTGATTGTAAAATAAAAGTTCAGTTCATTTCATGCGTTTGTTCAGAATCTGTTGGGTTTGTCTAGCAAAGTGCCTTACTGTAATTTACCCGTTTTGGATAACTTGTAATGTTAAGGCATTACACCCTGCCCCACACACACACACACACACACACACACACACACACACACACACACACACCTACCTACCTTATCCATGTAAGTTTTACAATCATTTATGTCACTGAAATATGTGGGAAGGCTCAGGCACCACAGCGGAGGAGAAGCTGTATGTTTTCTTTGCAAACATTTGTCCGGAGGCAGGTGATCAGTACAGACATTTGAACTCTCATTTCAGTGTTTGAAGAAGAAAGAAATTTGACTACTTAGCAGTTCACTGGGAGCTCTGCATGAGAAACAGAACAGAAGTTCATGTGGGTTTTTTTTCCTCTTTCCATTGTGTTCATTTCCCTCTCCTTGGTTAATTATGTTGTATCTTTTGCGGTTTGTTTTACCCCAAACATTTTGGAATAAAAAAAAACAAAACGTGTTCAAATTCAGGTGTCTTGGTGTGTCTGTGGGAAGGTCAGGCTACTTCCTATAGCAGCTATATAGTGATGGACCTCCAACAAAAGTCAGCAGCAACCATTAAATTACTGTTGGGGGATTTTAAATGAGGATGTTTCAGTTTTTTGTCACTTTAATGTGAAAGTTTAGTAGGAAAAAAAAATAAACTGGGATAAAAGACTTCATGGGTTTTGGCTCATAAACCTGTACAAAAACATGTGACCGTTTTCCATGAGTTTTTGCTGTACCACTAGAACAGAGGTGGGCAACTCCAGGCCTCGAGGGATGGTGTCCTGCAGGTTTTAGATGTGTCCTTGATCCAACACAGCTGATTCAGTAGTTCTCCAGAGGCCTGGTGATGAACTAATCATTTGATTCAGGTGTGTTGACCCAGGGTGAGATCTAAAACCTGCAGGACACCGGCCCTCGAGGCCTGGATTTGCCCACCTCTGCACTAGAACAAACATCCTTTCCTTACTAGATTGTTCTGTTAAATCACGAGCCTCATGAAGACAAAATTGTGCATTACTTTACAAAGTAAAGAGTTAGAAATCATTAATCATCTCACAGTTCCTCAGCTTCTGAGGATACAACCCCCCTTTGGCTGGGAACCAACCTACAACTGTCTAATAATAACAATAATAATATATCACATCGATTGCTGGGACGTTTTTCAGATTAATGATCACTGGCTTTAATATTGCAGTGACACTTCTTTTTTCTTTCAATTTAAAGAACTTTTAAGCAGATAATCTGTCTAAAGAAACACACCAAACCAGGAATTTAAACTTTCTTTCCCTCCTTCACTAATCTTGGCCCTTCACATTTGTCTCCTGGCCTCCTAGAGAGCTCCAGCCCCCTATGTTGGAAACCACTGAAGTAAAGTGTATAGAAAGAAGTTGGTAGTCGGTTCCTTGGTCATTTTAAACGCCTTGCGCTGATAATTCAGCGCATCCTTGCACCTCATCGGGGACTCTGCTGTAGACCTTCCTCCTCCTCCCCCTCTTTTACACGGACGCGCCCTCCCCTTCAGCGCAGCGGATGAGCGCGCCGTGGATGCTCGCTGGAGTACAGAGCTGCAACGAGGACGGGAGGAGAACACTTTGACCGGCAGCGGGGGAGCGACATCGGGACTCTTCTTTTCTTTGAAAACCTAAAAGATAAAAAAGGAAAACTTTGGAATTTTCGGTGCAAACTTGAAACTTGTGAGGTCGGAGGACGAACTGTGGGGTCAGCATGACATCTCTGATGAACTCTGCGTGCTTGCTCTTCTTGCCTGTTGCTCTGCTTCTGAGTGAGTACTGAAATTTAAGTGACTATGTCGCAACTTGTGTGCGCGAACAGTGTAAAAACTTGAGCATTGCATTTGGGAGAATTTTGAGTAATTTGGGGATTCAAGACTCTGTGCGTAACAGGACGGCGCACGTCCTGACTTTTTAGAGCTTTAGATTAATGATCTTAGGTGATGTGGATGTATGTAGATGTTAAGCTGTGAGAGTTCTCTGTATGCTTCGCGTCTGATCTTAAATGAGGGGGTCCCGTAGCCTTACCTCACTCATCTCGAGCATCCAGCAGAGCATGTGCTGCAGCTGCGGGAGCGATCTGCTCAGAGAGAGCTCGCAGCCGAAAGCTTGGATTAGTGCTGCTTAGTGAGAGTATTTTTCCCACAGCTGGATAAGGGTTCGTTACGCAAACTCACATCGTGCAGTGAGTGAGGTCTGGGTGCATCTTTCCATTTCTTTCCACCCATTTAGTTCCCTTAGCTCAATCGGGTTACTTGTAAAGTAATGCAACGGTAGATATTTAAGATAAACAATAGTTCCCATGTTGTAAAGTGAGACATGTGCAAAGACTTTTAAGTACATTAATTTGGAAAATATTAATTCAAAGCGGCTATACTAGAATTTGGTTAAGGAAATTGCAAAGATTGGTAAAACAGAATTGTCCTTGATGCAACATATGATATCTTTTATTCAGCATTACTTGTCATGTATATTTAATAAATTACAATCCACAGTTTGTAAAAAGACATATTACAGTTGTTTTCAAACAGCTGTGTAGTACTCCTCGAACCCTGATTGGGAAAATAGGTGGATTATCCCTTTAAAGGGGGGCAAAAGTGATGTCTTTGAATTAAAGCTCTAAAATGTTTTAATGGATTTAATGGTCAGCTTTATCAGCGATTTTTTTAAAGCTCTTTTATAAATGTTTGCCTTGTACTAAATATAAATGCTGCTTCTCTTTTTCCTCTTTCAGAAAAATAATTAATAGTTAGATTTTTTTTTGTGAGAACAAAATTTCATTCTCCTATTCTGAATACACGTTCTGTATATGCGTTTTGTTGTGTGGACCACAGAACTGAGTCAGACCGCTTCCTCTTTTCAGTCCAATAATAAAACGTTTTTAGGAGCTATAATTCAGACACTGTTGATCTAAATATAGCTCTCGATGTGCACACACCTTCTCTTTTTGCAAACTTATGATCATCGTCATCATCTTTATCAGCCTTGATCATCTCACGCTGCTGCTGATGTCAGAGAAAAATAAAGACCAGGAGGCGGATGGGACGAGGTTCCCGTGGGAGCGTAACACAGTGGGGGTAAAAAGGACAAAAAAAAAGTCCCACCGATGGGGATAAATGATAAATGAATCCCATCTGTCCCCTTACTCTGCTCAGTGGAGTCTCTGGAGACTCCATTCAGCCCTGCATACTAGCTTACCTGACCAGGAATTACTTCTATGTTGCTGCTGCTGCTGCTGTCTGTCAAACTGCCTCCACAGTCACTCAGTGTTTGTCACAGCTCATTCATGTTACTACAAGGGGACAGAATCAGCTCATTATATATTTATATGGTAGGACTTTTTTTTATATAGAACTTGCAATTGCATTATCTATGAGCAGAGCTTCCAGGCCCGGCACCTTTGACTCACACTGTCTTACACATGCAACCAATTATGTTGCAAATTATTTTTGAAATATGTTTTTGCATGAACATCACACATATTCTAGCAACCTAACAATCTACTGGGTTTTATTTAACCTGCATGGTATTTTTAGTTTGTTGTGCACCTTTACACAGCCCACGGTGCTGTGTCATCCACCGGTGTAGAAAGTCTTCTCAGTGTCTCCAGGAGGCCTCTGCCGGGAGAGTTTCACAACATTTATACTAATATTTTTCACAAGAAATAAGGCAAGCTTTGATAGCCAAATGTAGACACAAAAAGGCTTTGACTGGCAGCGACACTGGATTGCAGTGTACTTCAAGCACTGGCACTTTTCTATGTCTGGATCAAGAGATTCTGAAATGTATCTAGAAGCTATGTGATGATAACTGAAATATCTGAAAGCTGTGGATACAAAATAGAACAGAAGTTTCTGAAACAAATACCTGAAATTGTACAAAAGCTTTTATTATCTGCATTAACTACTGCAATCACATGCCAAAATGTGTGCTGAATTATTTTTTTTAAGCCTTAGTCACTGCTTGTGTCCATGTGTTTTCAGTTTAGAGTATCCTCACTCAAATCATAATCTCACTAAGAAATGGAAAAACAGTGTTTAGTCCCGTCCCATCTGCTTTAATGACGAATAAAGTGCACAGCAGCTCCATAATATTACAACAAGTGTGCCCAAACAGCTCGACAAGAGGCAAAAATTACTGTTTTTCTTAATAACATTTAGCCATATGTAGGTAACAAGATATTTAGTTGCTTTGTAGCTACAGGAAACAGCAAAACATCTTTACAACTGTAGAGACAGCCTAACCAGGGTACTGGCTCATAACAAGGTGCATAATAAGATGCTATAATGCCAGTCAGAAAAAAGTGCAGTGGTGTAATACCTGATTTAGATCACTGTAATACATAAGAGAAGAAAAAATGTGAGTATGAAGCCACGTTTTTAAAGATATGGACGTATAACAACGATCATTTCATTACACTTCAGTTTTTCTGCTAGGAAACACTGAGTCACAGAAGCATGAGCATGAACGCAATGTTCATGCTCATGCTACTGTGACATGTACAAATCAACTAAACACTGTTACAACTCCTAATGCAAATGGACTTTCATAGACTGTATATTGAAGATGTCTGTAGACAATGCATTCTGTTTAATGCCCAGCAGGGGGCAACCTCTTTGGGAGCAAAAAGAAGTCTGTACAGTTTATCAGGAAATGACAGCTCATTTTGTTCTATGACGTCAACAAACACATTCCTGATGAGTCAGTTACAAGTTTCATGTTTTATTTACTATAATATGATGTTCATATTGTAAATTATAGTCACCAACAGAATAAAAAAGGAGTATAAAGTGGTATTATTAGTTAGAGTGGGCCCCAACTTATGATAGACAGGTTGCTACAGAATGGCCAGTGACCTTGCAGGACACATGTGAAATGCTAAACTGGACTTCACAGTGACTATTTACATCTTTCATATACAGTGCATACACCACAAAAATTGCACAAAAATGTCAGATGTAGCAAAAATTATACAAATTAAAACCATAATATTTTATTTCTTCTTTCAAAAATTGTCAATAAGCACTCCAGTTTAAAAAGAAATTAATTTTCTAGCAAATATTTAATAGTTCTGGCTTTACAGGGTCAAGTATTCTTCTTCGTAAGTATCCTGGTCCTTCAAGACGTGTTGCAATGAAATACAGGTGTACATTTACTCAGCTTCATGTCTGAAAAAAGGCTTACCTTTCCTTTTATTTCATAACACACACAAAACCTGTTCCCTAATTTTTCTTACAGTTTATTTAATGTACCAGTTAGCGTGTCTTTAGCACACCTACAATTTACTGTTGTGATTAAAAGTGCCAACGAGAAGTTTTGGTAAGAGCGTGAACAGGTAAAACCTCATCTCAAAACAAGTAGAAGGAGTCAGCTTTAATACGATAAACAGCATTGTTAGAATGCACACAGTGTCTTCTGTTTGTCTGCACTCAGAAAGCTTCAAAAGTCAGGACCAGAGAG